ATAAATTTTGTGACAGACAGACAGACAGACACACACACACACCCAAACATACTGAGCGGTTTAATATGTAAGATAACAATAGACAAAGCAGTTAAAAACGCCTGAGCCAAGGCCCTCTATCCTTCATCTCATTTTGTGAACTAGACGAGAAAACGCGGAAACGCGAAACATAAGGGAACGCGCTGGAGCGAGAAAGGGAAGAGAGACAAAGGATGAGAGAGCATCAGTACAATCGAGACAACAGACGTCAACACAAAAGACATAATGTGGGTTCAGGTGAGATTTGTCGGTTTGTAAACCCCCAACCCCATAAAAAAAGAAATCTCAAAGTTTTCATACCTGCCGACTTGAGTTGTCCATAGCAGGTGGAGGAACAACGTCCTCGTCAGGAAGATAGGCTAAGTAGATAGCATTCACCTGAAAGTGAACTGTTGGCCAATGATAGTAGAAGTCGCGTTGATATAGACATACCTGTGAGTTTCCAAGACTGAGAAGGACGTCCCTCAACTCTGGATCAATCGAATCCATCGTTAATGACCGGACTTTTGAGGTTTGGACGCCAAGGCTCCGATGAACTCCGGAACATTCAATACACAACACCACCTGAAGAATCGCTCAACATTGAACTTTTAGACAGAAACTAGTAAGAGTAAGACAAAACTAGTGACTCCTGTTAGACTGAGAAAACGGAATGAAGACCAGACTCACTCCGAGGTTGATGCTGACCCATTTGGGTTGCTCTGACCCACAATCAGCACATCTTTCGTTGCCTGGTACTCGACGAATTTGCTCGAACGTCGTAGTAGCATCCGATACTGTTAGAGCAGGGACACTTCCAGATTGAGAAACTCCGCCAGAGGGTGTAGTAACACTGCGATTGTCCGATGACTTGCTGGACGAACTGGGACGAGCGGCCTCAAAGAACATGGAGTAGTAATTAGGCAAACTGCACATAAACTCCATTTAATTGAGTAGTAAGGTATTACATCATCACTTTCGTGAAGGGCTAAAATGGTTCGTTGCAGGGCACGCATCCAATCATTGCACAAAGCCTCAGAGTCGGCTTGCAGAAGATGACTTCTGAATTAGCAGTAATTACAAAAAAAAAAAACCATGCCCTATCAATCAGCTTAGCACACTAATTCCTAAGAAGCTAGCACTGCATTGTGATGATTGGTGGCAAAAGTGCTCAAAGCCTTGAAAATGGCTGAATGATACAAACCGGGTAAGGGTGTTAAAATAGCTCGATCAGCGCAACGCGAAATCAACTTGACGCTTGGAGCTGGACGAACCAGTACACAACATCAAGTTTCCTTCCTACGCTGGCGGTTCTTCTGACTCCTGCGGTGCGATGAGCGTACAAAACTTGAAAAAGAAAGCATATGCGTAGGGCATTCAGGGTTGCTCAATCCCTTTTCTGATATGCCATGAATTGCAGGTCAGATAAAACGAACCCGTGGTGGCATGTTGAAAGCTATTTCACTCGAATGAGGCGCTTCTGACTTTCGCGATGCGCGCCTGGTAACCGCGGCTCGACGCGCACCATTTGCAAAGCGCTTGCATCTGTAGACGAGCGAACGCATCCGCAGACCCGGTCGGCGCCGCCTTGTTTTGAGAAAGAGATCATACGATGACAGGAGGGCAGGTGCTGCCTTCATACAACTGGTACTCTCCGGTTCTTTATACCAGTCGGCCAGTCATCACCCGGCTGATGGCAGCTCCCTCCTCCTTCTCTTTAACCCGTCTTCGCCGGGCCACCCTAGCTTGGCCAGTCATAGTGGAGATGGAGTTTGTTTATTCACTAAGCTGCTCATATTACGCTGTAATGATCGAATCGTAACAGATAGAGCAGCCCTTCGGATCCTGCACTCCTCATCACACGCTTCTATTTGAAAGAGAGGTGGTGGTTTGGGTCATAACGCCCATACTATTCCGAACAGATCTGTAGATATAGATAGAAAGTATACTCGAAATCCCTGAGATCGGAGGCGGAGCATTCGAACACTGTAAAGAACTGGTTACTAGTGGAATATTATAGTCTGGGACAACTGTCATCTTGTTCTGTGTTGGACAGAGACACGACAACGATTGTGTCGAGGTGAAAATATCGCATCAGAAGCGTAAACGCCTTAAGGATAAGTTGAAACATGCGGCCACGCCTACCCGATCTCAGGCAGGGCACAGCATTGGTTGGGGATTCCCTATGGGGGGGTCGTATTTGGCCGCCAAAAGGGGGGGTCGTATTTGGGCTGGGAAAAATTTATTTTTATAGTTGATTTTTCTCGCTTTGCGGACGTTTTGGAGGGGGGGGGGTCGTATTTGGTCGTTGTTGGGAGGGGGGGGAGGGTGCATTTCTAGGCTAGGGAGTTATGTGGTTCACTTTATGGGTTTAAGATTTATCTGTTATTATAGGTCTATGTTTACCAAAAAAAGCGTCGTAAATCTTGCCAAATCCCACTCGAATGCTGTGCCCTGTCCCTATTAGTCGTTCTTTATAGTAATCGAAAGTTTAAAAATGGCTCCAGCGCTAACTTCTGATAGGATGAAGGCTCTAGCATTTGACTGAACAACAACGGCAATGTTCCTTATCAGCGCCTATCAGCTGCTATCACTTCCTCAACCCGCCGTCGCCGTCCATTCGCTGGAATGAACGCCTAGGTGATGATAGTCCCGCATTATTAGTATGGTTATCTTCCCTTTCTAACTCCTCTTATCAAATCTTATCAGCTGCTAGCAGTCCTTGTCACTAACGTTCCTGTGCCATACCCTATATCTTACCTTGGAACCCAAGCCCCACTGTTGTCCTTCTAAGGCCCCTTATCGAATCTTATCAGTTGCTAAAAGTTCCAGTCACAGAGAAGTGATGTTCCTGTCTCATACCCTATATCATATCTTGGAACTAACGTCCCACTGTTGCTGTGACCCGCCACTGTGATATGGGCGACCATCCCCTTTGGATACCCCTTATCAGATCTCATCAGATGATAACACTTCCTGCCACCCACCAAGGTGTTCCCGTTCCACCAACTCCATCACTTCCTGGAACTAAAATTGCACTGCCGCTGGGGTGAGCGCTATGAAGTTCGTGACATACGCACATAAACACACACAGACATACTTAAGCGGATTATATATAGTAGGATTCTCCCAAAGCTCTAGCGGCCAAAGCGACCAATACTAGACTGCATAATCAGGCAACGCGTACCTTCCTTCTCCAGTTCCCGCATACTCGCTGTATACAGAAGCTGTCGGCGCCGACCGATTCCCGTCTGCGGCTGCCTTTCTCTACAGGATAAGAGCGCTGTTGCGAATGTAGCGCGCCGACGCGGGTTACAGCGCGTCATCGCGAGGTCTGAGCACTGCCTGACAGTGGGAAACCAGGTCATTTGAAATAGCAATCGCAAGAAAGGGAAGCATTCAGAACATTGTAAAAGCGCAAAAAAAAAAAGATCGGCAAAACAGAGAGAAACAGTTGAATATTTAGGTGCTCACCAATTTGTTATCCTTTATTTGGAACCACCGTCGATTCCACGTTTTGAAAGCATTCGACGATCTTTTGTACAGATAGCCTTCCATCATCACATCAGGGTCAGGAGGCATTCCAGAGAAATGTTGAAACATCTCCTGAATCGATATGCAAACATAACACTCGATACTTTGAAAAAGCAAAAAAAAAAGACTGTTCAAGTAGTATCTATAAACAACCACTGTAAAAATAAACAGATATTCAGGATTCAGCTCAAGCCCCGTTGAGAGCCTTTTTCGTTTGGTAACCTTTAATTACTCCATGAAATCTCGACTTTTCCGCTCAATGCAAGGATTCCTTTCCGAAAGTTTCTTTTAATCTCCTATTTCGAAAGAGAAGTCGGCACTATAAACCTTTTACTGCGCTGTTGTTCAACGTTCAGGCCGAATTTTGACCGAATTTTTTCGCCGGTGTAGGCGCGAAAACATCTGGCAAAGCGTGCACATCAGCAAGAGCTGCTAGTGCCTTGGCGCCTGTGCGCATAGCGCACGTGCCACGCGTTTTTGCGCTAGGAGGATACAATATTCGAATTCAGAGGGTCAAAATACCGCTGGGTGCGGGCTTCCACCAGAAGATGGCGGCTTGAAGTGTTTTATCACCCACACCCGTGGCGCGGGCGTCATTCATTTTCGCGTTAAGAGCATATGACAGTCACGTTTAGAGAGTAAATTTGTTTCCAGGGCAAAATTTTAACCAAATCCACCCCTAAGGAAAAGTCACCAATACGTCACCCGGCCTGCACCTCGAGATGCGGGGAAAGGAAGTGTGAACAGCGCCAAAAGACTTTTCAGGAAGATTAAGAAAACCTAAAACTGGTACTCACAGTTTGTGGCAGATGAACAGGAACAGTAGAGCTAGTTGAGTCAGAATCGGTGTAAAACTGGGCAGTCTCCTTTTTCCGAGGCACAATCTTCATTCCGGGTCGACGTCTCAACTTATGTTTAGCTTTCGATTTATCAGCATTGATGATGTCTTTCCATGAGTTCGACCGTTCCAGTTTGCAGCGGTCGTTCGGGATCGATTTCGAACGTGGACGATCACATTTTGGACTTTCGCCTGACAAATAGCTGAAACCCATCGACACCGTGCTCTTTTTCGAACACATCGACACGTCGGAAAGTTTTTTGGCGAGAGGCGCTAAAGAATTTGTAGCGCCAGGAGGCTTGATACGCTCGTAGACCTTGATTGCTGGTGGGTCGGGAATTCCTTCGAAACAATAAAAAGTCGAACGAGCCGTCAAATTAAGCTGTCCCAGCATCTCTACAGTACGCTTTGCGTTCCATTGTTGGACTAGAGAGTAGTGAGCAGTAGTGAGCAGTAGAGAGTAAGCGACCAATGTCAGGTGGAATCACTGGCGAAGATTATCATGAGTAGAGTGAGCAATCAATATATTGCGAATCGAGTCGTAACCCGACCGCCGCAAAGCATTCGATGGACTAAGCCCCCTTGACGGTGACTCAGCCCACTTTTCCCCTACAAACAATCCAAAACAGTGTGACTGGCACTTTGGCCATTTAAGAGGATGGTTATTTCGCAACATTAAAGGGAGATGGTTAATCCTTTTGCACGAGAGAGGAATAAAATATAGCATGGGCACAGTGGCAACCCGTGGCCTGTCTCTATTTTCAACATTCCTCAGAAAGCCGTCACAAAGCGACGGAAAAAGCAGAAGCGCGACTCGTCAACCGGATCAGGGTCAGTTTTTTCGTGCCATCCTCATCTCAAACACTGTTCCGAGACGCAAGGGCAACTTTTTGGCAACATATAAGAAGCAACACGCCCCGTCTAATCCAGGCGTTCGTCCCTGCCATTACTACACAACAATCAGCTTTCCCCTTCTATCGGCGTCAGTTGAAACAAGAGACGAGTCGAGTCTAGATGATGAGGAAATCTCAAAGTAAAATGACAAAGGGAAAATTCATTGTCGTTTAAGTTCTTTGCGCTTGATGCAATACTATTTGGGAATGTGGCATGCATTCTACACCATTCGAATCGCCAACGGTGTTCACTGATGCGATGTGCTGGAATTGATTATGAATCGATATTATTGAATTACAAAAGCTCGTAGACCGGCCAACTGATGTGCAAATCAGTGATCTTATCCTCCCAGACAAACGTGGTACCAAGTTACAGTCCCCGCGAGGTACAGAACTGGTTGGCCTGGGCAGGAGCCGATCCGAGACTTGATCCTCGGAAAGTGCGCGTTCAAGGGGTACCACTTACCACTAAACCACCTCCCGTCTCCACTACACCAACCTTTTTTTAAGCTCACTTAGTCACATTTAATCAAGTTTAATTCTACTTCAGTCATGAAGCCACACGGCTTGACCTGCTCCACGCTGCACTCGCCTGATTCCAGTGGTATTAACATCGCACTAGTATAAGTCGCCCTCACGCTACAAGCGCTGCAATCGCAAGTCTTCGCAAAATGGGTAATGAGTCTCCTTGTCGTGAACAGGTATCCGCCACTTTGAGAAGGTCCTCGAAAGCCCTAGAGGAGGTTCAGTTCTCACGTGTCGCGCATCCCGGGCAAATAGTGTATCCCATTCGTATATTGTTCTTAGACACTTGGGCACTACTCCAGCCTCCTCGCAAATTGACGTGAATAGGAGAAAATCCATGAAATGCGTTTCACGGTAAAACTGCTAGAGAGTACGCCACGCATTCATCTTCTACTCAGAACCTTGATAGCACGAAAACGATTCAAGGTCTCACTGAGAAATGTAAGAACCCAGGCATAGTTTACTTGACTCATACTGCTTTTGTATTATACGTCATTCCAGTTTTTTCGTGCGTTGTTTACCTCCACACCACCGTCGTGGGTGAACGTTGTAGATTGGCCAATGATAACTTTGACGACGGGGTCTCACCGTATATGACAACTGAATCAAAATGTTGTTTATTAAAGTCAGGCCCCGTTCAGGGCACGCCATACGTTCCTCATTTAGGTGGGGGGGGGGGGGGGGGGCATATTTGCTCAATAGAGGCAGGGAGTTTAATTCGCCTCTGAGAAAAATGTTACAGTTGTGCTGGTAGTAATTTTTCACGGCTTTTCCTGTTAGAAATGCGCTGCGTTGCGAAACGCACGGGAAAGTAGAAATTTGGGAAGATGGTTGGTAGGTAGAATGGGCATTATGGGAAGGGGATAGGGGTCGTACCAAAGTAGAGGGAATTTTGGGTGGGGTCGTATTTTGCAACAAATTTCTCCAGCGACAGGACGTGCCCTGCTCCTGTCTTCAAGGTCGACACACTAACACAGTCTTCCAAATTTGAAAATTCCCCTCTTTCCATCAATTTTTTTCCGCGATAATTCCCTGCTGAAAACTATTGAAAAAAAACTTAATTCTCGGCGGCGATATCCTACCTTGGGTACAAGTGAGTGTATATCCTGCATTTTTCGCTGAACCAATTTACTCTTCGCAGCAAGAGCTATGAGAGAATCAGCGACACCGCCGTTGTCGTGGGCTGTCCAGTCGTCGAACACAGCATGTCCTCGGGAGAAATAAGCAGATGTCTCGCGAACAAACGACCATAGCTGAAAAACCCTGTTTTGAAAGCAATCAACAACGCTCGTAAAAGTTCTGTGAACCAATAAATCTTCCAAATCAAAAACTTTATGGGCCATTAACAACATCAGGACTAAAATATGTTAGTCAACAGGCGCCGGAAAGAGAATAATAACATCCAGCTTTTTCAGTCTACGTCTGAAGGAACCTATTTCTCTGCAGACAGGATAAATGGATTACAACTGCAAGTATAGAACTCATCGCCGCACCTTTCGCATACCAGTTGCAGAGCTCATTCCAGACGGATCAAGAATGGACCAGCTCTTTCATAGCCTCTCTCAGGAAGAACCAAACAAAAGAAAAAGGAATAAGCAGCTCACGATTCGACCAGCCCTCCTACTTGTAGTTTCTTCTGGAAACATAGCATTTCAGTCAGGTCCGTGATGATGCGCTGCGTTGAACTGTTTCATTTTCTTTGTTCGATGCGGTATGACATCTTTTATCCCCTTCCGCCCAGCTGTCAACTTTCAAAAAAGTGTCTGGTCACGCTAGAGAGTTTGAAAATATGCGGAGCTACTGTGATAAAATGCTCACCACAAGCGGGGGTATCCATTCCGGACGGGCGCTGTTTATCGACGGGGAGGGGCATTCTGCTTTTCATAGATTTGCCAACCCATCTAGGTACAG